GAGCAGGCCAGCTTCCTGACATCCTGATGGAGACAATAGGAATGAGAGAGTAGGCTTTTCCTACAGTATGTCAACCTTTTAAGAGTGAAAGGAAATGGGAGTACTAAGAGCATGCTTTTAATGAGAAACACCAGCCCCATTTTGGCAACTCTGGCACTGGTGAGGATAGAGCTGTACCTCAGAGGGTTGCGTATGGCCAAAAAGCGGTCAAAAGACATGACCAGAAGCACTGAGGACTCCATATCTGTGAATCCATGAATAAAGAATTCTTGAGCAAAGCAAGCATTTGGGGAGATTCCCGTGGCATTGAATACAAAGATCCTTAGCATAGTGGGTAGGGGGGAGAAGGACAGGCCCAGGTCAGAGACAGCCAACATGGAAAGGAAATAGTACATGGGTGCATGGAGTGAGGGCTCAGTCCTGATAACAAACAGGATTGTGCAATTGCCTAGGATGGCTACCAAATACATGAGGCAGATGGGGACAGAGATCCATACATGAGCATGCTCCAACCCTGGCATTCCAATCAGAAAGAAGGTGATAATCTCAATTTCAGAAGAATTGGGAAGGTGCATGATGAGTCCATTGAAAAGTCTTTATTCTCAGGTCTGAAATGACACTCAATATGGATCTCCTGTATTCATTTCCTTCCTTTCAGCATGTTTGTCTATGAAATAAAGAAAAAGGAATTGTGAAAGACTTATTTCAAGAAATAAAAGAGAGATATTACTTCTAAATAGACTATAATAAAGTCAGATCTTAACTGACAAGGGGAACCAGGAACATGGGTACTTGCATACATCTTTGTTAAATCCTCAGAAAACACACCCACATAAACAGCAGCAACTTTCAAACAAATTCCTCTTGTGTTATTAGGCTTTGCATTACCCCATTTCAATGACAAATTGTATAGAGTCAGAATGGACTGTAGGACCCCCTTCCCTGATCTAGAATGAAACTAGAATAATAATAAAAGGAAAAAGACTGGGAAACTCCAGGAAGTAGATACTAGTTTTGAAGAATGAAGAAAATCAATGGTTTCTCCAATTTCTAGTCATTTGCTGCAAACATTCGTTCAGGCAAGGTGTGATAGGCAAGGTATTCTTGCATTGCTATAAGAAATGCCTGAAGCTGGGTACCTTACAAAGAAAAGAGGTTTAATTGGATTGTGGTTCCGCAGGCTCTTAGAGCATGGCACTGGCATCTGGTTGGGCTCTAGGGAGGCCTCAGGGAGCTTTTAGTCATGACAGAAAGTGAAGCAGGAACAGGCATGTCACATGGCAAAAACAAAAGTGAGAGAGGGAGGGGAGGTACCACATACTTTTAAATCATCGGATTTTGTGAGATCCCACTCGCTCTCAAGAGGACAGCACCAAGCCATAAGAGATCTGTCCCCATGACGTAAATACCTCCCACCAACCCCCGTCTCCAATGTTGGAAATTCTATTTCAACATGAGATTTGGGTGGGACAAATATCCACACCATATCACCAGGCTCTGAGCTTCTAAAGCTGTTTTTACTCACAAGTTCTTCAAAGGAAGCAGTCCAAAGTAAGGACATAACAAATGTCATGTATGATTGACTATTAACCCTCTCTTATAGCATAGTGAAAACCCCACCTTTTCGTATGATAGTGGATACAATGTCCTTCTGTATGACCAATTCATAATGGTGCTCTCCATCTTTGAGGATGAGAGGAGAGAAGAGATTCTTGGACTTTCTCTAAAGTTCAACACGCACTTTCACAGCTAGAGAGTGGCTCAGTCAACTAAACTATAGCAATATTGGAGACACAGTATGCCACAGATGAAGTGGGTTGGTACTGCCTGGGCCCATTTTCCCCCCTGGAATTATAAGATAAATAGTTGTTCCATAAATCTAGGGCTTTTTCATAGGCAACTGAATCAACTATGTATATTTGAGAGTTTTCATGTGCTTTATGACATTAAGCACATCAGAGACAATGAGGCTCCAAGATATATAAAGCATATCCAACTCTACTCCTTGGCCTAAAAAAAAAAAAGTTTTATTGAGAGGCTAGGGCACTGTAAAAGAACTCTTGACAATTAGGAACAAAACCACAAACTTTTCAACTAGTTTATCCTCCAGAATGAGACTCTCGTGAGTCATTAAGGACAAATCCTCTTCTAGAAGACCTGGGCTACCTTCCAAAAAGGATAAATCAGTTGTTTTGTTTTGTCATGATCTGGATATTAGCCACTCTCTCCCCCGTAAAGTCCACAGGGAAAAAGTGTGCAGAGATTCTTTTGGACAGTGTATCATTAATTCTTTAGCAACTCCAATTAGGTCAGCTCAGAAGTGTCTTGCCCCTTAAAGTCTTCCTTTCTAATCACTCCAAGCAGAGTTCATGTATCCCTACTATAATTTGCATTGCAACTCTGTTACAGTACCTCAATTGTCTTTTGACTTGCTATTTATGTGTCTGTCATCCACAGTGGCCAATAGAATCATTAAAAGCCCAGTTTGTATCAGACCGATCTTGATATTTTCTGCACCAAGCACAGTTCCTGGCAAATAGCACACATCCAATCATTATTAATTAAATCTTATTAAACTGAATTGATTTCCATTTGACTAAACTGATCTTGAGA